GAGCTTTTTCACATTTGGCTCCCAAACTCTGGAATAGCCTTCCTGATAACGTTCGGGGCAGAGGCGAACTTACTCATTAGGCAAAGTTAGGCGACCGCCTTGGGCCCCCAAAAGCCAAGGGCCCCCAAAAGCCAAGGGCCCCCTAAAATGCTTTTCATCTGCGAGATGATGACATGAGAATGGTTGCTTTTTACAGTGTTTATCACCATGACAACCGTCTGCGTGTCCGAGTTGAACACACTTCTGGTGTATCCTGCTTGTAGCAAATGAAAATATTATGTATCTGAAGCTGTAATTAAATATTGCGCAACAGTGCATATTATATGTTTATTGTTTTAAATGCCGCTTTTAAATTAATATCATAATTTATACTTCAGACTCATCTCTTTTCTTAAAAAATGGTTTAAAGGCTCAATTGTGAGGTTTATCATTTTATAATTTATTTTGATTTTGTGAAAACTGTAAATCAGTTGCTATTTCGTGGTCTACAGCATGAAAAAAACCATTATAACATGTACATGAAAAATGTAGAAACATTGGACACAACTGTGGGGCACCATTGTGCAGCAGCAAGCAAGCATCACAACAAAAAAGGAACCTCAAGGCTGAACTAGGTAAATGTGTGCAAATATATAGGGCCCGATTCCTATATTTTGCCTGGGGCCCCCAAATCACTAAATCCGCCCCTGACAAGAGCTCCTTAAAAAGTAGCATCGTCCCGGAGCCCAAGGCTCTCAAGTCTGACCAGAGTCCGTCGTCGTGGGAGTTATGCTGGATGCGAGGGGATGGAAAGAAGCTCCGCCACACTCCCGCCTCTGAGAGTGAGTTTCTGAAAACTTGATTAAATGACTGTTTTGAGTTTGGAGATGTTGGTTCCCTGCCCTCTCTACTCCCACCTAGTGTTGTCACAATACCAACATTTTGACTTCGATACGATACCTGACTAAATTATCTCGATACTACTACTGAACCGATACCCAGAGGTGTAAGGAGTACCTGCAAACCATACTTGAGTAAAAGTACAGATACCTTACAGCAAAAGATGACATCATTACAAGTCACCAATTACAAAACGACTTAAGTCTGATTTTAATGGTACTTAAGTATTTCACTCATACTGAAATCTCTTATAAAATTATTCACAAATTTTACCGTTAAGCATTTCTTTCAAAAATGTAAAAATATAATTGACGCATCCTGCTCTTTTTGTGAATCTTTGCCCTACAACTAAGTCATCTGTTCATCATT